CGCCTTTTGAGGTTTGGGAGAAAAAGCGAAGCTTCAGCGACGTGCCGTTTGTCGTCGGGACGACGGAGCAGGAGGCAGACTTCAGGTGGGAACTTTCCTGGTTCTGGTTCCGGTTCTGGTTCTCGTACCTGACTCCAGTGTTTTCCTCCACAGTCCTCCAGCTGGGAACATCTCTGAGTGGACCTGGGGGGACTACAGCTGGTTTGTAACAGGTAACGTCAGAATGTTCCCGCCTGCTGATGGTGACTTCCTGTTTCTGGATGTTTCTGCACGGGAAGTAACTGAATGAAGCTGCAGATTAAAACGTTTCTAATGTTACTGCAGGAGTAGCTGCAGGTGTGTGACCAATAAGTCAACGATTTACTGCAGAAACACAAATATTATAAAATATTTTGGTCTAGTTTGTAATGTTAAGGAAGAATATCTAAATTAGTTAACTTTGGAAAAAGTCTGGCTCTCTCTTCCTCTGGATCCCAGGTCCTCTCGGCGAGCCACGTGTGGCCACAAGGAAAACAGCAGCAATGCATGTTGAAGTCACAGAATTACAGAGTTTAATCCAATATAAGACAATGCATAAACTTACACCAGAAACTGCAGAACAACGGAGACATACATTCATTTACCTGACAGACTAGGAAAAGAAGGAAAGGAAGAAAAGCAAAGACGTCTTTGGAGAGTTGCAAGAGCAAATCTAATCTGTTACTTCTGTGTAGAAAGTTTTATAGTAAAAGGCGTATTCTTATCTTTAATTCATTCAAATAAGGCGTATCCTTTCTCATCCAACCAGGAGCTCTCTGACCCTCTCTCAAGCCAGAAACCCCTGCCGTGTTTACAGAAAAGCTAGAACTTCTCCTTATTGTTTTCCCACACAGTTCAAACGATCCTAGCAAACCATCTGCTGTAACTACAGGTAACATAAAGGTCAAAAAGTCAGAATACATTACTAATTTCAAACCCACAATTAGGCCATTTGAATCAAGACATGTTAAGTTTTAAAACTAGCTTATTTTAAATTTATTTTCTCAACAGTAAATATCTCGGTGCACTTGAAATAAGATAAAATTAACTTAGAAGTAAATTTTCAGCAAGTTTTTTTTTTTTTTAGCTCGTTTCACATTGATACATCCGTAATATATTGTAGATTTTAAAAAGTACTAGTTCATCTGTTAGATTACTTTAACTATCAGACAGGAAAAATGTTTTAAGTGAAATAATCAGCTGGGGGAACTAGAACCATTCCATCAATATTAAGGGATTATTATAAAAAATCTTGCTGAAAAGTCACTTTTATGATAGTTTTCCTTTTTCCTGTTAGCTGAGATATTTGCACTAAAATCTAGACAGAAATACTTGATAAGATTTATTGTTTTTAGTGTTTTGTTGGTCTGAATTTGGTCTTTCTGTTTTTTCTTCCTCAGAAAAGCTCCAGTCCTTCGGTCCGGGTCTCCCTAAAGACGCTCTGGACCTGTACCCGTCCTCGGCCCCCTGCCCCACCACAGTGCGCTGTCCGGAGAGGGCCTTCACCACCATGGTGTCTGACATCAGGGTCACCTGTCCCAACAACGACCTGGCCAGGAGGGCCGCAGGTAACCAGCCCAGCACCCTGCACTGCTTACAGCCAGCCTCCTCTGAGCCCGTCAGCCCGGCGGCATCCGGCCAGGCAGGTTTTATTTGTCTTCCTCATCTCAGAGCGTTGGCGCAGACTGCAGGCTTCATTCATGTCTGTCGTCTTCCAGGTTTGCGTTGCGGCTGCAGATTGGTGCGTCACGGAGGCTCTGAGCCTCTGGGCCTCGTTAACATCGCTCTGAATTAACCTGACATGTTGAGACGTGACTGAGGGTCATTTCATTTCTCTGCATTTTTAAACATGCATCTCACTTAAAAAATAAAACATAATGAGCACCATTTTATCTCCACAAATGAGTTTGGAGAATCATTTCTAAATCAAGCATTTTAATCTAATGCTGCTTTACATTTTGACAAAAAGTGAAAGAAAATGAACCTTTTTTTAACATCCTGTATTACAGTGGTGAGCACCGCTAACTAAAGAGTCAGTTATGCTAATCCTAAAGCTAAAGCTCTACACCAACACAGTAGAATAGAAGCTAATGCTAAAGTGCTAACGCCAGTTCCAGTGATATCCACCTTTTAAAGAGAACAATATCAGTTTAATTGTGATAATTTACATGTTCTGTAAATATTGTTGGCTATTTATGATGATCACTTGTTTCTGTCCGAGTCGAGGATGAAAACAGAAGTAATTTGAAAATACTTTTTTTAAAATGTTAGAATAAAGAGTGAAAAATGAAAGGAAGGCCTGAGTACAGCTCCACCTACAGGAAGGTTCCAGTATCTGCAGGAAAACAGTTTACATATCAGAGCATGTCATTTTTGACACATTGAGTTTTCCGTATTTTTCACCGTGTTGTGTTGCCGTACATACTCTTTCTGCTGCTGTTGTGATGTTGCTTTTCTCCTCCGTCCTGCCAGCGGCTCTCAGCTCTCCGGTGTATCGGTACGTTGTGACCCACACGCCCTCCGGACCCGTCAACACGTCCAACGGCCTGCTGCCGTTTCCCAGCCGCTTCTCCTTCCACTGCCTGGATGTTCTGGCGTTCTTTGGAGGACTGGACCGCTTCCTGGCCAAACCTCTGTCTCCACAGGACCGCAGCTTCCAGCAGCTCTTCACTCACCACCTGGTCAACTTCGCCAAAACAGGTGCTGGTTCTGCCGGGTCTGTGAACCGGTTCTGTTTTAACCAGACCTCAGATCAGCACCGGTGGAGAGTTTTACACCTAAAATGTCAAATACTTTGGTTCTGTTCCAGCAAAGAGGGAAATACAATGAGCTTCTACCCAGAATGCTGATTATTTTTCACAATTGTTGATCTGAAATGACCTGCAGGTGAGAGGAAGCTGCTTTAAACCAGTTTAAACCGGTTTAACCCAGTTTGGACCAATTTGTATCAGACTGATCAAAGACTGTTCCTCAAACCTGGTTTAAACTGGTTTAATCTGGTTTAATCTGGTTTAAACTGGTTTAATCTGCTTTAAATAGGCTGAACTGGTTGGTTCCAGATGGATGAGCCTTGTTGGGTCTGACTGGGTTTCACCCTGGGATCTGGAGGAGAAGGAAGAATATTGATGTTTCCATTCATCCGTCCGTTTTGCTGACTTGATCCAGTGTAGAGATTCATATTAATCCGTTTTATTTTCTTATTTGTTTTATTTCTGTTTGTGGGTTATATTGTTGAAATAAGACCAGATGAAATATAAAGTGAAGCCACATCACAGCAGGAGTCTGTCTGAAACCCTGATCAGTGTTAAACCAACCAGTTATCTGCTGAGCTAAACTGGGAGAACTGGAAACCCAGCTGGTGGATATTCTGGTCACACACCAGCAAGCATAAAATACTCTGATCTGCAGATCTCAGTTTGTGCCACCAGATGGCGCTGTTTCCAGCTGTAAGCCGTTTTTCAGCTGTTTTCTGCCTGCAGGGAGGATGGAGGCGGCGTGGCCGGAGTACCCATCAGCCATTGCTCTGCTGTCGGAGAAGCTGGAGGTGAAGAAGAACCACTCGTCCACTCGCTGTGAGCTGTGGGAGAAGAACGGTCTGTTCGCCTACGCCTGGATGAACTGAGCTGCTGGTTCCACGCCCTCATCCTGCTGCTGTAACGTTCTCCACCCTAACAGACATTTTTCAGCTTAAATTCCTCGTTTGTTGTGATTTTTGACGCTTATGAACCAGTTCAGCTGATGGTAGTTTAACAGTCCGACCGGATCTGTTGGGAGTTTAAAAAAACATGACGGATGTTTCTGGGATGTGAATTCATGCTTCAGTCTGCCTGATGGAGCTGGAGACCAAAGAAAATGAGAGAATTCAGGTGGAGAAGTTTAAAATGGTGACAGAAATAATAATAATTTCAGATCCATAAAGGGAAAAAAACGATCAAAACTCTTCCAACCACTATGACTCGTCATCATGTTGGTTTCAGCTGGTTTTCTACCTGTAAAGGGGAGTTAGTTCAGCTAGAAATGACTTCAGCTGCTGTTTGCTGCTTCCTACAAACAAACTGAGCCAAGCTGAGAGTTTTAGGGTTTAAATCCTTGAAGACGGACCAATCAGATCTTCATGTTTTATGTTTTTTTTTACTTCATTTTAGATCAGAATTTACATTTTCCAACATTGTTTAAAAGAAATAAAACATTCTTGTCCCATCAGGAATCAAATCATATTGAAAAACCCAGCATTAACTACCCTGCCTGGCCTGTAGGTGGCGACAACTCGGCTGCAGCTCAGTGACGTTTTATTCACATTTTTTGCAAATTAAATGCAACAAAGCTCCACCTCAACCACCCCAGAAACAAATCCCTAAACAAGTACATTCATAAATTACTGAATTATTTTTTTTCAAAAGACACAGAAAGTAAATTTAATTTAAAAAAATACTTTAAGACTGCTGTTGGATCTCCTGTAGCAGCCTGTGTTACAGTGGGGTGAAGAAGCCTCTGACTGAAGATGCTTTGTTGAAAAGCTTTCAGAAGTAAAAATAGACATGAAATAATATCCAAAAGACTTAAAAATATATGAACTCTTGATACAATTTCACCTTTTGGTGAAAGTTGAAATGTTGGTTGGTGCTTCACACCTGCTCTCCGTCTCGGCCCTCTGCCTTCGTCCCTCCCGTATCACAGGCATGGCAGTGGAGAGACAGATAAAAATAAGGAAATAAATTGTTCAAACAAAAATAAAAACAGGTCAGAATAATAAGTACGTGTGAAAAGAATTTAAAACTTCAGGCAGATCTTTCAGGGTTGACGTCTAAAAATCTGCATCTCTATTACTTTTTATATTTTCTTCCAATAAATTTTTGAAATTATACTTTAGTTGGAATTTGTAATTTTCCCCCCTCAGAGTTGATCATCTTCTCTTTGTACATATCTTTGTCTGCTGCTGAGTGACCAAAGCAGAAGCAACATAAAGTTTTTGTAACATATTTTAGTAACTAACCATGTTGAGACATGAAACTCCTTCCTGACTTTAACCTCTAAAGTTTCTGTCAAACATTTAATGCATTATTAATCAAGCTGTGACAAAAATCAAATTACTTTGTTCTTGTACAACAAAGTTAAAAAATCCCAAAGCATGACACTGTCACCACCGTGCTTCAATGTGAGTGTAGCGTTGCCATGGTGATTAGCGCTACGTTTGGGCAGCAGGTTGAAAAGCTTCCTTTCCTCCTTTCTTTCTCCTGTTGGGTTAAAACTTGTTTTATGGTCTGTCCCGCCTGCTGGTTGACCTTTGACCTCTCAGATTCATGCCCTCCCCTTCAGCCCAGGAGTTTCATAGCTTTGCCCTTTCACACCAGGCGTCCAGCTGTTCTATTTTCTTGTTTTTCTAGATTTTTTGTAGCTCTAGGAGACGTTCAGAGAGCTGATTTATGATCCAACCTGACCTGCATCTCAGCAGAACTTTGTCCCCGACCCGTTTGGAGAGTTTAAATCATTTGCATTTCACTTTTACTGAATTTATTTTGGATTTGTTCGTTGTAAAAACAGCAGGGAGTGAAAGCATGTCAGTATTTCTTATCTGTCATCGAAATGGATTTTGTATTTTTAACAGAAATGTTTGGCAGCCGTTTCTGACGTCATAAAAATGAGGCAAAATTTAACTTTTCATAGGATAACATAGGAGTAAATATTGTGTGTGAAATATTAAAGGTTTTGGGAATTTTTTTGCACTTTGCAGAGAACAAATCACTTTTTTAATGTTTGTATTTTCCTGTTTTAACACATTCCTGGTGTCTGTTGCTTTAAATTGTTTAATGATGTGTTTGTGGTTTTCAATCATGTCTTATTTTGTGTTTTATGGGAGTTTCACCTTTTTATATGATCAATAAATGGACATAATGTGAAAATGTGTAGATGCTCTTAGATTTCCTTCATCTGCTGTGCCAGAGAGCTGAACTGATGATATAAATAATGCTCATTACTATTTTTATATTTTTACACCAAATGTTTGGCCATAATGCATATAAAGCACAGAGGTGGAGGAATGATCATCTGGACTCATTTGGCAGCCACAGATAAAGTAAGAAATAACTTTTTTGTATCTGCAAATGAAAAGTTGCTCAGTTGTGGTAGAATAAACAACCCTGCAGAAAATGTTGACTTTTAAAAAGAAAACTTTTCTAAAAATCTGGTGGGCCGTTTCCACTCATGCTGAGAAGATCTGGATATATTACTTTTATTTCTGCTAATATTTCTAGCAGGATGAATTTAAAAGCTATTTTTTGTCAAACGTGAATTCTGTCCATTTCCTTGGTTTTATATGGAAATCAGTGCAGCTGTAATCCAATATAATCAAAACAATTGTAGTTTAAAACACACCAGTTCAAACAAATTCAATGCATATTGCTAACTCATATATTGTCAAATTTCAATAATATAATTTTAACTTTTGAGACAATTATTAACCCATTTTGTCCAATTTACAAATAAATACAGTCCAGTTTGTGACAGCTACATCATAAAATCAGGTTTTCTGTGTTCTGTGGCTCTTTCTGATTTATGAAATGAATACTGTCCCGTTAACTGTAATTAGATCAGGAAGAAAGTGTGTTTTGTATAACGGTAACAGTTATTTTCTTGTTTTTTGCGGGATTTTGTTTAGGTATCGTTTCCCTCTCAGACCAGTTCCCGTTATTTCTCCTGTCCCTGCACTACCCCATCTGTCCAGCAGATGGCAGCAGAGCTCCGACCCGCTCGGGTTGTTTGTTTTGAGTCGGAACTCTTCCAGGTTCTGTTTCTTTAAGGCCCGGACCGTTTCGGCTGGGATTCGGCTGCCGGTTGCCACGCCGCGGCGCCTGCTCAGTGCTCGGAACCGGGTCCCGGAGCCCCGCTCTCTGCGTGCGGTTGGACCGTCGGTCGGTGACCTTATGTGGGGGAGGCTTTTGTTTTCAACCCGCTGCAGGCTGCACTTTCACCGGAGGATGCCAGGACGAGCTGCGGCTTCTCCTGCACGGACAGCGCAGAAATCCACGGAAACACGGTGAGTGGGTTTGTTCCTGCGTGTTTTTATTCCATCTATAATTAGAATAATCATAATAAAATAATAATAATCACGCACGATGCTCGTCCACGGTCTCCCATCAGGCGATGTTCAACCCCAACTGCGGGTTTGTTTACCTCCAGAGAATAAACACAGTCTTCCGGTTCCGAAGGTTCGGATCACGGTAATACCGGTCCGGATCTGTGAAAGCAACCCGGACAGTGTTGAGGCATCACCGCCTGGTTCAGATGGAGGCAGCGGATCTCAGGCCTGAGATCATCAGAACCAAAATATATGAGGCCAAAACGGAACCAGATTTAAAATATTTATCATTATAACCTGGACATGGATCATAATATATTAATCTGCGGAGATTATGATGGATTTTAACATAATTTCACAGCTGCAGGTCCAGATGAAGCTCCAAATTAAAATAAAAATGAACAAAACATTTAAATTTTCAGTGTCTGACATTAAATCAGACTAAAATGTTTCTGTTTTAGGTCAAATAGGATGAACTAAATCACTTCTATTTCCTACAATCCAGAGTAGTTATTTACTTTCTTCACATCCTACATTGATCTGTTCAAACAGCGGAAGGCCGTCCATCCATCACGCCGTTCAGGAAGGAGACGGTTCTGATGTGAAATCTTTAAATCCGCTCCAGAACCAAACCAGAAACCGATCACCTGATGCTGAATCTGGTGAAAACATTGAATCCTGAACGGCCATCAGAGAAGAAGAGGCCGTTACACCAAAAGCAACATAAAAAACTACAGTTTGTAAATGTTGGAGTGTTTGGAGATAAAGTCCATCATTACATGTGGAGGAAAAACGGGAACACCACCCCAACTGTGAAGCACGGTGGTGGCAGCGTCATGCTGTGATGATGATTCAGTGAGGACAGGACTGAGTCATTCACAAATCAAAATGCATCATGAGGAGAAAACATGTAAAATATTAAAATCCTACAGTTTATAAGGAAAACTGTTAAATATTGAGGGAATATTTGATTCTTCCTCAATATCAAAAATCAGAAAAAGATTATTTTTCTTATTATTTCTTGTATTTAGCAAAAAAATAAAATAAAATAAAATTAAGGTAACTGACCTAAACTGAAAAAAAAAATCAGATTTAATCGCCGACATTGGGGAAAAATCTAAAATATAAAAATATAAAATGTTTAAATATCTTGTTTCGGCTGCATTTCAGGCTAATTTAGAGATTTTATTTTGTCCAACACAATGAGCCCAATGAGACATTTAATGTCAGCAGATCCCTGAAGCCTTTATTCCTGTTCTGTTGGTGGATTGTTTTGGTTTGAGTTTGAAGGCAGGAAGTCCGGCCCAGAAGAACCGCGGCCTTCTGCTGGGCTGGTATCAGAAACGTTAAGGTTCTCATTCGTTCTTCAAAGGAAAGTTTTTATAGATTCAGATGCAGGATGTAAAAAAGCTCATTTTCTGCTCTCATTTGATCCCAAACCCTGAGAGGATCTCCAGCCTGGTTTCTGTAGCGAGCGCCAGGCCTGGTTTGGTTTGTCGGCCGTCCAGGTGAAGGAGTGCCGTCCAGTCTCTCCCAGTTTGGGCCTCCACCCTTCAACTGGGACTGCCGCCAGAACTCGTGTGCGATTTACTCCCAACCGCAGCAGCCGCCACCATATGCTTCAGATGACAACTTCCTCTGGGAGCTTTCAACAGCCAGACCTCAGTAGCAGCAGAACTGCTGCTTTGCTGCACGTTCAAACGCTCCTCTGCTGATTTATAAGCTATGAAATCATAACCGACGGAGGGAAGAGTGTGTTTCTGCTTTAGAAAACTTAAAGCCAGAGTATTTTGTGTATCTGTGTCTGAGCTCATGCTCGGGGTCTTTCTGAACACCATCAGTTTAGGAAAGAACATCATGTAACCAACATGGCTGGAGAAAAATCTACTGACTCCAACCAGGAAGCGAAGCAGGAAGATTGACGACCCGTTAGGTTCTGTTCTGTCTTTTTTCATTCGAGCTGAAAATGTGAGTCCGACTGGATAAACTCTGGCCCAGTTTCCAGCTGCAGTTCGCCGTTTCCTCCTCATCATCGACATTCCTGTCGAGTTAATTTGGGATTTTAATGTGTTATTTTCACTGTTCTTTCTCCAGGAATGACTAAACATCAACTTCCGTGGATCTGGGTGCAGAAGCTTTATTTATCCTCATATACAAGCTCAGATATTTAAATATTTGGGTAAATGTCTGTTAGCATGTTGCATCTCAACCAAACAAGCTCCTGGCATCGTTCTGTCTGCAGGAGAGTTTGTTTAAACTGTTGGTTTCCTGACTCAGGTCCGACTTTGAACATGTTTTAACAGGGCCAGAATCCCAGAATCGTAATGTTGACCTTTGTAATCCGGTCCAAAAGCAGGATATGATCCGTTCATGTTTCGGATCATCTTGCTGTAACAGCCAACTGGTACCAAGTCTCAACTTTAGACGATAAATTCCTGCAGTTAGTGACCACAGCCACCCCGAATACTTGAGATCTCATATAAAAACTCTGACATTCCCATTTTAATAGTTCAAACACAAAATCTGCCCCAATATGCATTAATACACTAGGTGGAAACCGATGCAGTGGAAGCTTCTACCGTCTTTCCTTACCTGTTTTTTGCACCAAGGATCAGACTCCTGGATTGGCTGCTTTGGAAACACCAGACAATCGCGTCTCAAGCAGCGTTGCTTATTGGTATTTCAGCTTCTCAAGCTGCATTTTCTCCCAAATATACAGTTGTGGTCAAAAGTGTACATACACTTGTAAAAAATCATAATGTTATGGCTGTCTTGAGTTTCCAATAAG